TGAGCTGCAAGAGGTATCAGGATGTCCGTGACTGCATGTGTTAAAGAAGATATGACCTAATCAGTGTGCAGCCTAAGGGACTGAGTGATGGCTTGAGCTAGCATTCCTTAAAGGTGATGTGCTCTGTTGAACTGCTGTGAAGCACAGTATTCAGGTCACTTCAGCAAACAATTATGAAAACTTTCTGCTGTATTTTGGATATGTCAGAACACTTCATTGCAATCTAAATCAGTCAGAAATCTAATATAGAGATGTTTCTGATAAAGAACAAGAAAAAGAGATGKCAGGTTAGTGTTTCCCTCAAGAATAAAGAAAATTTTAAATTCTTTAATTGTGACTTACAATAAGAACAAATAGTGAAATGTCAAAGTATCTCACTGGATAAAAATATTTTTTTCTCAGCTCTGCGYTTTGGGAATCGAATAAAATGCCTCTATACTCATTTTTTTACAATATCTGTACAATCTGAGACTGCTGGAGTAGTTTTAAAGCAGATCTTTCAATCCAAATGCAAAACTGGCATGTAGCCCTTTTATTCAGTCAACAGATGGTGTATGGTATTTATGAGAACAGTTGTTAAATGCTTTATAGTGTGACTCACCAACTGATAGCTGCATATTAATGGAAAATGGAAGGCACTATCGTATTTACAAGTGTTATATTGTTGAGGGGAACTGGCTCAGCTGATCTATGTATCTAGTGCCCTTGRAATTTCTCTTTAGAATATTTGGACTCCTTCTCAAAGTACTGTTTTTCTGGGCCCCAAACCTAGTAACCTTACTGAAAAAAATGAAAATCTTCCAAACCAGAACTTAGATTTTAGATTCTGAAAGCAACCAGAGCTCCGTAATTATTTACCTGCTAGAATTACTTTCCGAATTGGATAGAACTGGATYGAACTATTTCTAGTTACTTACAGCTATTATCTAAGGAAAAAAAAAATATGTCTGTGAAGCTGATTGCAGTAGGTGAGATATTAAATGCTAATTATACCTATCAGAAGACATTCTTGCCTTTTGTTGGTATGAGTTATAACAAATTTTAGATAAAAATATTTTTGCTCTTTTTAAAGTCTTACAGAAATTGTTCTAGAGCAATGTGTTTGAATTCTGTTCAGGTATTTAAAAATCATTGTTATGGGGTTTTTGGATGGAAAACTTGATCAGCTGTTTCAAGACTTGGAGAAACCACTGAAGGCATACCACGAACTTCATGATATTACAACGATCATAAACTGGCCTAAGCCACAGGATCCTGCAAATTACTGCAAAAACAACTTGCTGTTGTTGTTAATGCACTTATTTCCATGCTCTTATCTTGTGTTTGCTTAGCTTGCTTTTKCCAGCCTTTGAATGGTAAAAGAACCATGAAGAAAATTTGCAGCTGAAGTGATATCAGTGGAAGCATTTCAGCTTGTTTTAGTTCATGTGATTAAAAGAAAAAATGCCATAATACAACCAAAATGAAAYTGCATATCCCATTCTCTTTGGCCTTCTGCATTGCACTGCCAGRCTCTAGTCCAAAGGGAATAGACAGTGATGGGGAGTTGTACAGGAGGAGGTGGAAGTTTACCCATATTCTTTCTTAAGGTCGATAAGGAGCTAAACCCCATCAAAAACACAAAGTATTCCAGACTAAGGGGAGCTCCAAATCCTCCTGCAGTCCTTCATCATCTCTACGGGAATTTCACTTCCATGAAGTTACAGTCTGAATTTAGGGGCATCCAAGAAACAGGAAAGGTTGGGAAACAGAAATCTGATGCAATGCTCCCAACCAACCCAGCACATTCTTCTGCTACTCCCAGGTCTAAACAACCCTTATTTAAGCTCCCTGGGTTTTATTTTTTTTCCTCCCTCAGTTCCYATTAAACCTTTGTAGGTGCAATGAGATTCCAGTGGGTTCTTCAGCAAATTACCRTTTGTGGCATGGGCAGCCCTGTAATGTCTAGCAGCAAAGGCTGGAGGCAAATTGGTAATATTGAAAGGATATTGCAACATGCCTTTCTTTACTCACATATTTGTACATTGGTCATGAGGTAAAGTACTGAAGATATATAGAGAAGATATTGCAGGTACTGGGTATGCACCAGTTGCTGAATAAATACCAATGGACGAGGTCCTAAGTTGCTTACTTTTGGCTAYGCTGCAGGCAGGTCTGAAGCCTCCTCCTGCTTGCAGCCCTCCTTGGCTCTGCACTTCGGGTACAGAGCCTCTCTTACCTCTGTAACAAGGACTAATACAAGGGATCTGGATTATCCATAGTCAGGTGCTGAGGCTGTTTGCCTGTATATTTGCCTGCATGTTTAGGTAGCCTCACTAAAAGTCTGGGCCTGTTAAAGGCCTGTTAAAGGCAAGAAATTATTACTGTGTTTAACAAAAGTGAATATAAAAGCTTGCAATACTAGGGTTTCAGTAAAGCCCTGGTGATCCAAACAGATGTAGCACATAAAAAAGAAATGAAGATGCAGGTTGAAGTTGGTCAGCTCAAATACAACTTTGCCTTAAACCTTCCTTRTATGCCTCTATTTTCACTAAGATACTGCTGTTCTTAAAAGAAAAAAAAAAGCTTAATGTTGACTTCTAAAAACCAAGAAAACAAAGTGCAAACTATGTAAGAAAGAGCAACGAAAGAGAGGCTGGAGGAGCAGATTAATGAGGAGGAAAATACACACCTCTTGGCTAAGCAGTTGCTCACAAGTGATAAGTCTACAAATATTTGTAGGCTGTAAATACTGAGGAGGAACAGGAATTTAGTATGACACAGCCAGGCATAATCAGGACTAGGAGGAGAGGAAAAAAAATATGTTGAGAACTGAGAAAAAAAAATGACTTGCCAGTGAGATGTGAGAAACGTGTGAATTAAAGGATGGCACGTGTGTCCTGAGGGAAGCATCTCCGTGTTGGTGAGCAAATAAGCTGAGATACGGCGGGAACTGCTGTGGTTGTAAGGTGGTGGCTTGTTAAAATTAAGCTTTTAATGTAGCAATGCTTGGCTTTAAATAGCTGCTTGGCTGTGTGTGCTGAAGGGAGGCTGGCAGCCTGGGAATTCCCCAGGTCCTACGTGATTTCTGCTGTCCGCTTCATKCTATAGCGGGTGCCAGCGCTCCAGGGCTTAGAGCCAGTGCCCAGGGGTCTGTGAGCATTTGCTGGTGGGCTTTTCTGCTGCAGCATAAAGCTGGAGGTGGGGAAAGGATACCTGCCACTGGAAGTCTTATCTGGGGTAGGATGTGAAAAGGAAAATGAAAACCAGGACCTTTTAAAACTGGTCCTGCCTCACTGCTGCGCTGGCTTTCCCCCAGGTGCAAAACACCCAAGGAGCCAACCCAATGCCAAACTGCTTGTCCGGCCCAGCTTGGGAATGCGGGAGAGCCACAAGGGTGGGCAGGGGGGCCTCCAGCCAGCCCTCCATGGCATCTCAGAGCTCTGAAAGTATTTCACTTTTTCTTTTGTATCTGAAGAAGACCTTGCACGCTCTGAGGATGATCTATCATGGTTTAGTAGGCATGGTGGTGTTGGGTTTACGGTTGAAATTGATGAACTTGAAGATCCTTTCCAACCACAATCATTCGGTCTCTATAATCACTCTATTCTACCACAGTCCTGTTCCCCCCTGCCACGCTCCCCCCGAACATTTTTACATAAACATAAATTTTATTTATAAAATAAACCATTTCCAGCACCACTCTTGGCTCGTGCTAAACATTCCCTCCTGCTCTAGGCTGTCTATCCTCTGTCCTTTTAAATGGATATCCTGAAGTGCTGAGAACTTCTTTTACAAGCACTAGTTTGTCAAAATTGATATTTCTGTGGATTTTCTTTCCTCTGAGAAGCTGGAGGCTTTAGGGGCATTGAAAAATGAGTTTTTTCAAAATGTTTAGTCAATCATATTATAATCACCATTAAAAAAAGTAAAATGATTTTTAGTGACTTATTAGTCCATTAAGTTAGAATTTAGAAACCAAAGTAGTTTTATTGAAACAACAATTTATTCATGGATTAAATCTAAGCATTTTCTATTATAACTTATCCAATTTGTATCCTGTGTCCTGGCTGTGGGGGAAAGCAATTTTGCTCCGGTAAAATTAACACTGTGCATTAATAAATATAACGCAGAGATGAGCATGAGAGGAGCGAGGTAACGAGGCCTTTACACCTCACACTTCAGCTTGGCAAGGCTTGGTTTGAGCATTGTTGTGTTTACTGCTTTCCCATCTGAGCATGCTGCGACCCGTAAATAAGCTCTCAGAACTAAAAGCAAAGCTACAAATATTCCTCCCCATGCTAAAGCCCTGACTTTTGACTTTGCACACCGCTCTTGCTGCACTCTCAGCCTGTGCTGATGCATCCACATTTTCCTRTGCGCCGGTTACGCAAGACGGCGTAGCACCGGGCGAGCCTGCAAGCTGTGGGCGCCGGGACTCTAGGTGTGTTTTCTAAATAGTTTGAATTCAGATGTTGTCAGGTCAAACTGATTCGAGAATAAATGTTCGGTGTCATCACCAGGCGTATGGGGAACTCGCTTGGCCATGCAGGGAGATGTGGACGTGGCTGAAAGTGGGGACAAACACAGAGCTGGGAGCAAAAGGRAAATACCCCCAAAACACAGGGCCCTCTGAGCCCACTGGTGAACCTGCACGGTGCAGGGGGGGTTCCACGTGCATATGTTTGCAAGGGTGAAGTTTGGCATAAAAAGACATAAGCAGGATCAGAATACTAGCTAGGAAAAAAGCCATACTTAAAACAATAGGGGGAAAAAAAAAAACAGCGTTTGGGCAGGGTGAGGAGCGGGGCCACCCCGGCCCGCTCTGCGTTTCCCCCCCAGAAGCAGCATCGTTTTGGCACCTCGGTCCCAAGGAGCATCTGCTGCCGTGCCAGGCGGTGGCGAAGCCGCTTTCCCCGCGCGCKCCCGGGTCTGCCGATTGGCGCGCGCGGCAGAAGGGGCCGGTCCTTGGAAATCAGCCTCGGCGCCTATGACAGATTATATTTTTATGCAAGAAAACAAACCCGGGATATCTGATGGACTGCGTTATCTTTCCAGGCAGCTGGGAGCTACGACTGCAAAACAAGAAGTTTTATGCTTAGACTTCCAAACTGTGAGTGGAATTTAAACATCAGTTAAACTCCTGCTTTGTTATTCTTTATTTTTTTTTCTTAGTGTGCAACTTTGCATGGAGTATATCTGCCTGCATAATAACTTTTCATTTTCCAGCAAGCTCTTGCAAATTCTCTTAAKATGAAATAATTACTGCTTTGGAAAACTTAACAAAGTGTTAGCTGCATTTGTGGCAGGACTAATAAATGTATACTGGGAAAGAGGATGCTCCTTTCGGTGAATGCATTTAGTCCGGACGGAAATAGCTTCAAATTATCTATGCCAAAATGTGTTTGAGTGGGACTAGTGGTGCTGAGGGAGGATCTCCTGGGAGAGCTCAGCAAATGCCAGGCTGGTCTATGTGTCTTTGTCGTGGGCGTCACTGGGTGTTTGCTTGTGTATGAGGAGGGATTAGGCTGAAGGCTGCTGTGACCATTGTGTGGCACTGTGCTCACTAGATGGGAAATCTGGTGGTATCAGGTGCTAGCAAGCTGGCCAATTAATGATGATGGTGGGAAATTAGTGTCTGCTGTGATGCAGATTTTTAGAAATATTTTTAAACAAAAGGTTAACTACTATATACGAGTGCACAGGGTAATTACTGTGGTAGCTGAAACATTAACAAACTGCTCTTTCTTGCATGTGTTCAAATAGAAATAATGAAGTAGTTTGACTTGGGAGAGCTCAAGGGACTGATACCCACTAAATAGTCCAAGCCAATAACACGGTGCAGGCAGACTGGGACTCCAGACTTGTGATGTTTTCAGGTTCCCATGGAACTGTCCAATGACCGATACAATCCTAGGAAGTTATCTAACCTTGAGTAAAAAGAGCTATATTTTGGAGCTTTTCTTGATTCAAAAGGATGTTGCTAAAAGCTGAGATACGTGCTTTTATAAAGTTTTAAATCTAGACAAGGTTGTCACACAGCTCCTTCCAGCTATCCAAAGCAATTCAGCATCCTTCCTAATCTGACATGAATTTTCCATAAGAAGTGACCACCTTCATATTTCTGTTTTTTGGCAAGCACATCACATCAGTTTATACTCTTATATTCTTGCAGAGTCAAGTGAAATTCAAAGGTGATRTTAAAAGAAAAAACAGTGGCATGGTTTTGCTAAGCTGGTGCTGCAGAGGTCTCAACCTGCAACACAGGAACCATCATCATTAGTCCTGAATCTGGGCACCTCCAAATCATGCAGCCCCACAAACCAGAGGAGTTGTTGCAGTATCCAACTGGGTCTGAGAACTATTTGGGATTTGGACCTTGCCCGTATACAGTAGAATTTCTGCTGAGTTAGAGAGTATAACCTGGAGCACGGACTAACTTCATACAGCACGGAAAGAGACAATTCATTTCATTGCTTGGAGCAAAGTAAATGTCAATATTTCTTTACTAAATGAGCTGCTATAGTACATCTATATTATCTTGGTGCTTTTACATCCTGTTGTTGCAATAGTTTTGTTACACCACTGGGATCTCTAAAGTCAGATTTACAGCATCACCAGACCACTGAGTGAATCTGAGCATATTTGAAGTAATATAGGGATGATAAATTTCTCTACCTTTCCTCCACCTTCCTTTCTTTCTTTCTTTTTTTTTTTTTTAATCACAAATTTTGGTATTCTTACCTCACTAACATCAAAATCAAATCTCTATCAAATTTCTTTCCATTTTCTCCAGCAGCAAATTAACGTAAAAAAAATCTAAACAATAGATGTCCCAAAAATGCTTTTCAGTTGCATGTCTTTTAAWTGCTAATGAAGCCCCTAGACTGGAGGGTCTCTATAACCCTCATGATGTAAAATGTTTCCCCTTCCTGTGATATGGTCTAGTTCTTTTGTTCCCTTAATTTGACAGTGTTTTCTCTGCTAGCAAGTGCTACCTACGCACTATGGGCCAGATTCTTAGCCACACAAGTATGAATAAAGAATAACTTCATTGAAGTCAATGGCATTACCCTGGCTTCATTCCAGCATGCCTGGAATTGGAATGTGACTCCATATAACCAGCTGGCATCTGCACCAGGCTGGACTAAGAGGTAAACAAAGAGATGCTGCAGTTACAAATTTTGCTAGTAGAAGTACTGCTGTTGTGCTGCTGGCTCCCAGTTGTGCTTTTGCACTCTACCTTTGCTTATTCCAAAAGAAAAGACTAAACAGGAGAATGTCATGTCTATTTTATCTATTTTCCATCAGTTTTGTCTCTTCAAATCATGCACAGTTTTTCATAATGGTGTTAAATTCAGCTACTTGATGTCATACCTTGTCCAGACCTTGGGCATACACCTCAATCAATAAAGTACATGTGCCTTTCTTCTGCTCTGAAAAACTTCATTTTTCTCTCAGTAATTTTTCATTTTCTGTTATTCTCTGCTGGTAACATTGTTTTGGGAAGCTCTGCTCTTGCTGTGAAAGTGCTGCTCTCTGTGGTATTTTGGGATCTCCTAGAAGCTGTTTCCAGATTGCTGAAGAAAGTTTTGTTTCCTCTTCTGCCTTGCAATGATAACCACATTGTTCCCATAGCCACCTACATAGAAAAATAACTCCTGGGTCTTTGTCGCAGAGAGACTAACATGATTATTTTGTACTATAGGTGGGGTTTCCTAATGACGCCTTTGATTTCCCTGTTCTGCGTGCTTGGATATTCCAGAGTTGCTGCCCTAAAGACAGCAGAGGTTTTGTGTGGCTATCTGGACACTCCGTCCTATCATCTCATGAAATCTATCCCAAAGGAATAGATTGGCTCTGTTTCAGATGGGAGAGGCAGTTATCATTCCACTGCTGGTCAGAGAAAGGCCAACAAACTGAATTCAGTGATATTTGTACCACTGACACTGCAACTCTGCTAGTTCAAAATGCCAACGCTATGAAAGCAATGCCTGATCTTGGAGGGAGGACCCTATATAAGATGTGCCGTGAGGTTAGTTTCCTGCTTCCACCAAACAAAAAAACCCAAAAATGATATGCTCTAATTTCTCAGAAGTTCACTACAAGTGCTACCTGCTGGGTAGATTAGCAATGACACTGGCATCTCTAAATATTCAACATCACCAAGAAATACCCACTAAGCTAACAAGCAGGAGTTCCTCCTCTGCTATGGCACTACATAAATTCCTAGAATGAAATACCTACCAGTCCATGGGGGATTATATGACACTGAGGTTTACCTCCACTAGAGCTAAAATATTTTCTCTTGAAGTACGTTTCGTSATTACTTTGGTATATTTGTGCAATGTGTGCAGGTTCTCCATAATAGTGCTGAATTACTGCAAAATAACTAAGTATACAATTCTTTCTGTATGGACACATGGTTTACCTGTAACACAAAGTATTCATCYGATGTATGCATCTTAATTACATTTTTTTATTAAGATTTATAAAGTGGGTAAGCCCACTCTCATGTTTATGATTCTGTTGCCTCTGATGCTGATGACAAGAATGAGTCCCAACTTTTTATCTTAAAAGAAATCATTTGCTGTAGCCTAGCGCATCTGGAAAAGTGCTTAAAATCTGGAAGGTTTGTGAACAGAAGASAGATCTTGGCTGCAATACTTGTAAAATTATTGGTTTGCAAGCCTTGAGAAGAACTGTAAAGCWGCAGTATCACATCTTTGTGCAGCTGGGATCTTGCGTGATCTGAAAGAGATGTCCAGAGTCTGCGTGATAAAAAAGGTTTTACAGGCAAGAGAAAACACACTGGAGTCATAGAGACTTGTTTTAATACTACACAAACACTTCTTGAAGCTGAAAATAAAAAAGTACAAAAACTGGCAGAGGGGCAGGTGAAGGTATGAGTAAGAATCACATACCTTTGATGTTGTTTTTTACCCCTGTGCTAAGTTTTGTGCCTTGGGGAAAATGAATACTACTTTGTTTTGAAGACAAATTAAGGTACCTTAATTAATGCATAATACATTGTTTTGAAGACAAATTAAGTTACCTTGATTAAATTGCTGGTTGTAGGTTCTCAGAGAAAAGGTGTGTACGTGTGCCAAAGGCAGCCACATCTTTAGGGTTTTAAGGTTCATACAACTGTAAAGGGCAGAAGCAAGGAAAATGCTCCCTGTATCCAAAGGCAGAACTCCAGAAAACTTAGAGGATCTAAAACAGTTGTTCCTAAGGACTTTACAATCATAACTTATTTTTTTCTACTTCATTTAAAACCCATTTCTGTCACAAGCTTCTTAACCATATAGTGTAGCTTGTACATATCCAGAGTCTCTCTGTGAGCCAGACAGCTGAGAAAGAAATGCCACGACCTTGTCTAGCAAATGAAGAGGAGCAGTTTACAAGTCTTATAGAGCAAGCAACTCAGGTGCTTTAAGAGATATCTGTCCTTCTATAGAGAAAGGGCTAAGGCCCTTTCCCTTGCTTATTATTGCTATGGCACAAATGGAGGAACTAAGCACTTAGAAAAAGGGTGTGTTTAAAGACTTAAGTGTGTGAGCAAACAAGTGGGACTGACTTCAATATTCCAACATGGCCAAAGAAAAATTCTGCTAAACCCTTTGAGTATCATCTGTAATAATTTCATACTGAAACTTTTAAAAATCAAATCTATTTTGCTCTCAGTGAAGTAAATTCAAAGTTGTTAATTTGTTAGCAAAACATTGACATCCCTTATCATGATGTCCTGTACTTGTACAGACAGCTAATGAATTTCTAACTTTCCAATAAAAGATTTTGGAGCTGAATGACTGGAATGGTCACTAGAGTGACTGTCTCCAAAACTGCTGTTGTGCTAGGCCTTCTGTTGACAGTCAGTGGAGCTTGCTCAAAATGAGACTTATTTGAAGATTTCTTTAATTTCATTTAAATATTTCCACCCATCTGTCCATTGCAGCAAATTGCTCTGTTTTCTGTCCTTCTCTTCAATATGCATGTCTTCATGCCTAGGGAAAGTCATTCTGTTTTTTGTTTGCTGCACATTTACACAGCCAAACACAGCTTGCCTATGYGTATATACATGTGTCTTCTGATAAATTTATAACTTGAGGG